TTTTTTTCCCCATTTCTGTCACCTCCGAGGGTTTCATTGGCATCAGGGGGTCAATAAATACAGAATCAACGTTCACTATTTTTTATTTAAACACCGCCTGCAAACGGGGAGATGAGGGTGGCTAAAATATATTCTGCAACCCTGTCTCCTCGTTGGCTACAAATTTCAACCCTCCGCATACATGCCTTCCCCTTCACCCGCTCGTAAAATCACGCGTTCTCGGTAGCATCGAGGAGGACTTCTCAGGACCGAAAAGAACTGAGGATTCGAATGGTCTCTGGAAAAGTACGTCGCAGAACTGATTGGGACTTACCAGGTCCATCTAGGTCTGGAGAGATCTTGAAAGACCTGTGAACGTCCAATCCGAACCAAATCCTCGACTCGGGTAACTGGGAGGCCCGATTTCGAATCCCGGCTGGGCGGTGCGGGATTTTTTGTTTCTCTTTTGATTCTCTTTGGATTTTTTTTCGATTTTCGCGAGATTTGTTTCATTGCCGGCACATCAAAGAGGTGCACGAGAGTGCGCCCCCAGTCTCGTTCACGGAAAAAATCTGAATATTCTATTGAATAAAAACTTGTCTGAAGCTCTTCTTTACCATAAATTATTATGCGATTCGCCCAACGATAATAATGAAATGATTATGCACCGAACAACATCAGTTTGTTCTGATTAATTAACGAAAACTGGCGGCTTTTATGCATACGACATCGGCAGGACACTGAATAGAGGGTGCATAAATACATTTTATCCCTCCCAATCCCTGAAATTACAGTCATTCACTGGATGAAGAGACCGAAAGGGTGGAAGCCCATACGGATTTAATCCACAAATTCGTTGAATTACATATCGGTATGTACTCAGGTTAAATATACCCGTGTTATCTGTCCATCAATTAATATAACGATTCAAAAAAAAAACTTCACTAACCGCTCTCACGCGTACGGACTGAACTAATTGATTTTGAGTTTACGTGAGACCAAGTGACGCATAACGATAAGCTCGCGCTATTCATCCGGACAATGGAGTCATATTTTTTTTCATACATTTTACTCGCATCGGACGGCTTGTTTGCATTTAATCAAACTTGTTAATGGATTATCAATTAAGGGATCGATGAAAAGAAGTGGAAAAATGTGATTGGAATATCAATATGCATCCGTCGCTATTAATAGATTTAGCACGATATCAATCAGATGAAAAATTCGGGCAGAGTGGGAGAGGAAAACAATTATCGCATCGCAGTAATGAGATTCTCATTAAAATTAATTATGATATGAAGTCCAATTAAATTCTTCCAGGTAATTAATTAATTAATCAAGTAACTAAATGATTTTTTAGTATTATGCCTTCACTTTAAACAGTTGAGAGAATTACAAAGGAAATGTCTTAATTTGGACATGGAAAATACAAAATAGAATAAACTTGTGATATTGAATCAATCACAGCAAAAACGAATATCTGAATTTTACACACCTTTTGTAGATATTTTTCAGACACTAAAAAACGTCTGAATAAGATGGAAAGGTGTCTGAATTGCAGACGAACCGGTGCCCAAACATCTTAATTCATGTTTGAAATTCAAACAAATTTTCATTTCATTCAGACGGTTTTTAGTGTCTGAAAAATGTCTGCAAAAAGTATGTATGTAAAATTCAGACATTCATTTTTGCTGCGATGTTAATTGTGTTTTTATTGAGGAATGAATGTACTCCATTCCATCAATTGATTGGATCTCCACACGAACAGAAAAATTAAATAAAAATTACTAGAAAATCGTGGCAAATTTTCCTATTCGAAAGGTAATCATGAAGCGACATTGTAGTTCAATAAAAAAAAACTTTTGCGAAGGATATCTTACTATTCCTTCAATAAAAAAACCACATCCACACTGACAGAAAACCTACTTTTGACAAAGAAGTTTTACTTCGTACAAGAATATATTTCGCCGATTTTTAAAATCGTGAAAGCTCTCGTTAAATAATTTCGTTCTCAGGCTGAGAGAAAAAGGTTTCCAAAAGGATGAGACTCTTGATAAAGCGTGAAAAAATCTAGAAATTAGTACCCCGATTAAATGACTTGTTTCATAATTTCCCTCCAACTTTTTCCCCGTGCATTCATTAAAAAAATCAAGTAAAATAAAAAAGAATGAATGAATGCACGAACGAATAGCTGAGTAACTCTTATCACGTCCTAATATTTCCCCGGCAAAAAAATCAAGTAAAAAGAACTCGCGAAAGTTCGACAAAAAATTTCAATTCAGAAAAAATTGTGTACACGGAGAAAAATGTTCAGTACAAATTACGGAACTCACAATTTGCTTACCGATTACGGAATCGACTCAGAAAATTTTAGTGACGGTATCGTAATTTTTCACAGGAGAGTCAGATAAAAATTACGGAACGCTCTGGAAAAATTCCGCGACAGTTCCGTAAAATTTCCTACAACCACATTTCACTCCGAAATTACGGAAAATATACGTAATTTTTATTGAATCTTTCTCTCCGTGTAAAATATTTCACGAGCCTTGAAGGTCCCACTAAACGTCCCCCCGTTTTTCATACTAATCCGAGTGAACATTTGTTTTCGATATTCCAAAATTTAGATGATGGATTAAGTGCGATAATTTTTCCTCAAGCTTTCTATGCCTGCAGTAAAATATGAGATGGAAAGGTCTTTGGACTCATAAAAATTTATCATAAAAAAGATTTTTATGTTGGAAAAACTCTCGGCCGTTGGAATTCACGGAACAATGTCGTTTAATCCCATTAAAAAACGATAGATATATATTCAGGAGCATCAGGTGCGCGAGGAGCGCAGGGGGGGGGGNGGGGTTGGTGCGAGCCAAGGGGAGGGGTGGTTTATGCGAGAAAGCGTTGCATCTGGGAAAAGCGTGGCTGCAATACGGTCAGGTGCCATTAATTAACTCGGTGTATGGGGATTTCCACAGCACTGAAACCCCACACCCCTCCGCCATCACCTACGCATTTCATCCGCTGCGAAATCTCTTCCCAATGCATCTGTTTCCCTGCTTAACGCGTATTTCACAATTCCCCAGCAGAGCGAGTAGTTAAAAGGGTCCCGAGAAGGGGAAATAGCGAGTGGTTTACCAT